AAGAATTTTTTCGCAGGGATTATTAGGGATAATAGGCGTGGATTTTTAAAGAATTTTTTTCGCAGGGATTATTAGGGATAATAGGCGTGGATTTTTAAAGAATTTTTTCGCAGGGATTATTAGGGATAATAGGCGTGGATTTTTAAAGAATTTTTTCGCAAGGATTATTAGGGATAATAGGCGTGGATTTTTAAAGAATTTTTTCGCAAGGATTATTAGGGATAATAGGCGTGGATTTTTAAAGAATTTTTTCGCAAGGATTATTAGGGATAATAGGCGTGGATTTTTAAAGAATTTTTTCGCAGGGATTATTAGGGATAATAGGCGTGGATTTTTAAAGAATTTTTTCGCAAGGATTATTAGGGATAATAGGCGTGGATTTTTAAAGAATTTTTTCGCAAGGATTATTAGGGATAATAGGCGTGGATTTTTAAAGAATTTTTTCGCAAGGATTATTAGGGATAATAGGCGTGGATTTTTAAAGAATTTTTTTCGCAGGATTTTCCGGGCCGAACTTTTTATGTCCTCTACAATAATAATGGTGGATATACACGGCAAATTTTTATCAACAAATCTAAATAAAAAAACTACTAGAAACTGTTCAAATACGCCAACTGCTGACTGTGGCAAAGGTTATTTTGGATTATGCTTATCATATTGATGCACTCCACATAGAATAAATGTCAATTATATGGAAAGAAAATGCTACACTGTCTAACACTGACTTGATTCCAGTAAAAAAAATAAATAAAATAATTATCAGTTTTAAAACGGGAGACTAAACAAACAAAAAACAAAAACACTTTAGCAAACAATAGAAACACACGCATACACACAATACAAATAAAATAAATAAAAATTTATCCCGGATTATCGTCAACTATCGCTCTCTGGGTCTTCAAAAAAAACAAATAAAATGAAAATCGACGTCCGAGTATTTGCACAGATAAGATGACAAAAGGTTCAAATCGCTGTTGTCTTATCAGTTTAAGAAACTGTTGCAGCTTAAACACAAGCCACAATATGTATGTCGGAATGATGTACATGTGTGTGCGTCAGCCTGTTTCAGAGGGTAGCGGAAAAGGGAATGCTTATATAGCATTTTTTCCAAATCCAAATTAAATCAGTTGATTGGGAACCATTCAACACCACGGTTGTAGTTCGAGAGTGAAAGTAATTTTTAAAATTGACACAATGAAATTCGTTTTGTTGGCCGTGTTGGCCTTTGTTGCCTGTGTAAGTGAAAAAAAAAAAATTATTAAAAAAAAATCTGAATGAAAAAATTGAAAGAACAGTGGCCTTTGTTCAAAAGTTCAAAATCATTGAATAAAAATTGTGGGCATATTTTAAGAGCGGGGAAATATAGCGAAGATCGCTTTGAAATGTTCCATGAGGTTACAGTTAAGGTCAAGGACAACTCCTGCAATTTTCGGTGATGATCAGATAATAATTTTGGGATGAAGTGGGTCAAAAACTTAAATTTTCTTTTTTTCGAGTCGATCTATAGGCCACATTTATAAGCCAAACATCACAACACAACCCACGGCGAAGGGAATATGGACAAGTAATTAGATTTGATTAATATTCGGAAAATATGTCAGTGTAAGGAAGAGGTGCTGTTGGCCTCTAATAGGGCAAGAGGGGGGAACTACCACGAAATATTGCACAGGCACGGAAAAAAATTCGCAGAAAGTTAGAGTTCCGTGGTATTTGTGTAGGGTATCGTATGGCCTGCTCCGTTAAATGGTTTCTATTTAACGACGACTCGAAAGGTCATTGAAAAAATATTTTTAAAAAAGACGACTTTTGTACTGCTTGAAAAATATTTTTTTAAAGTCCACGACTCTTTTATCCCTTGAAAAATATTTTTTAAAAAGTCCAAAAATCTTTTAGCCATTGAAAAATATTTTTTTAAAAAATCAACGACTCTTATAGCCCTTGAAAAATATATTTTAAAAAGTCCACGACTTTTGTACTCCTTGAAAAATATATTTTAAAAAATCCACGCCTCTTGTAGCTCTTGATTTTTTTAAGTCCACCCCTCTTGTAGCTTTTGAAAAAAATCCTCGGGTTCAAATAGCACGTGGAAGTAACTATTTTAATAAAATCCAGGCCTCTAATACTTAGAAAATCTTTGTTCTTCTTTTCTTAGGCCTCCGCTGACGAATGGCAACCCAAGACCGCTGATGAAATCAAAAGCATCCGCGCCGCCTGCTTGGAAGAAGTTCCCTTGACCGAGGAACAAATGAATCACATGAAAACCTTCGACTTCCCCAACGAAGAAGCCGTACGCAAATACTTGATGTGCACCTCCGTGAAAATGGACATCTTCTGCACCCACCAAGGCTGGCATTCGGACCGCATTGCTAAACAATTCAAAATGGATATGCAAGAATCTGATGTCCAGAAATTGGCCGATGATTGCATTGCCAAATACCCCAAGGGTGATAAGGCAAATGATGTCTACGTTTATGATGTTCACAAGTGTCTTATGGACAGTGAAGTCGGCCAGAAAGTCAAATCCTATATTAAGAAACGTCAAGAACAATTGTCGAAACAAGCCTAAATAAAATTATAAAACCAAAAAAAAAAATATATATATATTTACAAAAGCTACCATTTTCCAAAATTATTTACTCAAAACTTAATTATATAACTTACAATATAAGACAGGAGCATGTTATTTACGAAAAATAGCATTAAAAACACTCCTTCGTATTTAAATAACTTCTTGGCTAAGAAATAATGAATGAAGCTTACATTGTTTACGGGTGGGGTTTAGTTTTCAAAATATGGTCACTTAAAATGATTGTCAAAAACATAAGAAAAATTATTTTCATAAAATGTGACTGGAACTAAACAACATCTCAAGTTTCAGTGGCGATTTTATGAGATAATTTAAAACAATAAGAAAATACTCCATACATGACCTCTCCATCTTTGGGTATCATTTTGGGTGTCCATATTATTGAAAACTTTATCAAACTTTCTGTGATCCGTGTACGTTAGTTCATTTGCCAACGAAGTTTAGACTAGATGATACCAACTTATGATAATGCAAGCGTGAACTTATATATACATAATATATATTATATTTAATAGCAATAAAACATGGTTAAGCAAGCCTTAATAAAGGAAGTTTTTTATTAACCCCTAATGGCCCTCGAAAAAATATTCTTAAAAAATATCCATGCCTTGTATGGATGGCCCTTGAAAAAATATTCTTTAAAAAATCCAAGCCTTGTTGGCCCTTGAAAAACTATTCTTTAAAAAATCCACGCCTTGTTGGATGGCCCTTGAAAAAATATTCTTTAAAAAATCCACGCCTTGTTGGATGGCCCTTGAAAAAATATTCTTTAAAAAATCCAAGCCTTGTTGGATGGCCCTTGAAAAAATATTCTTTAAAAAATCCACGCCTTGTGGGATGGCCCTTAAAAAAATATTCTTTAAAAAATCCACGCCTTGTGGGATGGCCCTTGAAAAACTATTCTTTAAAAAATCCACGCCTTGTGGGATGGCCCTTAAAAAACTATTCTTTAAAAAATCCACGCCTTGTTGGATGGCCCTTGAAAAAATATTCTTTAAAAAATCCACGCCTTGTTGGATGGCCCTTGAAAAAATATTCTTTAAAAAATCCAAGCCTTGTTGGATGGCCCTTGAAAAAATATTCTTTAAAAAATCCACGCCTTGTATGGATGGCTCTTGAAAAAAATATTGTTTAAAAAATCCACGCCTTGTATGGATGGCCCGTGCAAAAAATATTCTTTAAAAAATCCACGCCTTGTATGGATGGCCCTTGCCAAAAATATTCTTTAAAAAATCCACGCCTTGTATGGATGGCCCTTGCAAAAAATATTCTTTAAAAAATCCACGCCCTGTATGGATGGCCTTGCAAAAAATATTCTTTAAAAAATCCACGCCTGTTGGATGGACCTTGAAAAAATATTCTTTAAAAAATCCAAGCCTTGTTGGATGGCCCTTGAAAAAATATTCTTTAAAAAATCCAAGCCTTGTTGGATGGCCCTTGAAAAAATATTCTTTAAAAAATCCAAGCCTTGTTGGATGGCCCTTAAAAAAATATTCTTTAAAAATCCACGCCTTGTGGGATGGCCCTTGAAAAAATATTCTTTAAAAAATCCACGCCTTGTGGGATGGCCCTTGAAAAAATATTCTTTAAAAAATCCACGCCTTGTGGGATGGCCCTTGAAAAACTATTCTTTAAAAAATCCACGCCTTGTTGGATGGCCCTTGAAAAAATATTCTTTAAAAAATCCAAGCCTTGTTGGATGGCCCTTGAAAAAATATTCTTTAAAAAATCCTCGCCTTGTATGGATGGCCCTTGCAAAAAATATTATTTAAAAAATCCACGCCTTGTATGGATGGCCCTTGCAAAAAATATTCTTTAAAAAATCCACGCCTTGTATGGATGGCCCTTGCCAAAAATATTCTTTAAAAAATCCACGCCTGTTGGATGGCCCTTGAAAAATATTCTTTAAAAAATCCAAGCCTTGTTGGATGGCCCTTGAAAAAATATTCTTTAAAAAATCCAAGCCTTGTTGGATGGCCCTTGAAAAAATATTCTTTAAAAAATCCACGCCTTGTTGGATGGCCCTTGAAAAAATATTCTGTAAAAAATCCACGCCTTGTGGGATGGCCCTTGAAAAAATATTCTTAAAAAATCCAAGCCTTGTTGGATGGCCCTTGAAAAAATATTCTTTAAAAAATCCACGCCCTGTATGGATGGACCTTGCAAAAAATATTCTTTAAAAAATCCACGCCTGTTGGATGGACCTTGCAAAAAATATTCTTTAAAAAATCCACGCCTGTTGGATGGACCTTGAAAAAATATTCTTTAAAAAATCCACGCCCTGTATGGATGGACCTTGCAAAAAATATTCTTTAAAAAATCCACGCCTGTTGGATGGACCTTGCAAAAAATATTCTTTAAAAAATCCACGCCTTGTATGGATGGCCCTTGCAAAAAATATTCTTTAAAAAATCCACGCCTTGTATGGATGACCCTTGCAAAAAATATTCTTTAAAAAATCCACGCCTTGTATGGATGGCCCTTGCAAAAAATATTCTTTAAAAAATCCACGCCTTGTTGGATGACCATTGAAAAAATATTCTTTAAAAAATCCACGCCTTGTATGGATGGCCCTTGCAAAAAATATTCTTTAAAAAATCCACGCCTTGTATGGATGGCCCTTGCAAAAAAAATTCTTTAAAAAATCCACGCCTTGTATGGATGGCCCTTGCAAAAAATATTCTTTAAAAAATCCACGCCTTGTATGGATGGCCCTTGCAAAAAAAATTCTTTAAAAAATCCACGCCTTGTATGGATGGCCCTTGCAAAAAATATTCTTGTCTCCTTTTTTGTGCACGGGACTCATGATGCTGAAGTTCCAATCATTGGACATGCATTCTTCTAGCCAAATTGTACTAATCAACTGGTGCATGCTCCTTACCAGCATTTGACCACCAGTCGGCTTGTAGCCCATCGGGTAATTCTCCGCCATTGTGCTTCTATATTAATATCGGGACAAGGGGTGCTTTCGTCAAGCAGATGGGTAAGTTGAGCAGAGTAGGCGTCTGCTATCTGTTGTGTTTGCAGCTTTTCGACGTCAAAATTCCGTGTTACATTAGATCGCACCTTTGCTGCTGATTTCTCGTTGTTCGATCAGGAGAAATCCAAGTGACCTTGTGTATATCGAGATTCTTGAAACTGGTGCAGCTACCATGTTTTTTGCTGCTACGAAGTCTTTTATTATCCGGTTAACCATAAATGGGTGAACTCGCGGCACATATTAGCTCACTATTTCATCGGGTGATGAAAATAGTTCCCAGGTGGCACCGCGGGGAGGTCAGTGTCCACAATTCAGATGAAAGAGGGACCAAATAGGCCTGGATTTTGTCATGTTATCTATCTATCATCCCCTACTACCCTCATAATTTATCCAAAATGTTCATATATTTCTAATATAGTTTCATATCAACAATGTTTCGATAGATAGTATTGTTTGTATTAGTTCTCTGTACAAGCAATGGCGTTTAAACTAAAAGCAGAACAACGCTGTGTAAATTATTTTTATGTTTACAAATGAGAGATGGGTATAGAGATTTGAGCAAATATATAATGCAATAAATTTGTGATGAGCACACTGACACCAAATAAATTACAATATTAGCATTTAAAGTAATCTTCGAAGATGTTTATCACTCCCTTCAGTTGTCATATGCAGCCAAAACCTTAAAAATGCCAATATTGTGGCGGTACCGATATATAGGGACAATATTAAAACTTGGATCAAAATATCCCATTTTTAATGCCATAAATTCAGCAAACGTATCACTGCATAATATTCTGAGCTTTTTTTATTAGTCCGAATTTATACTCCGTTTCATTTATAAATTATCCACTTTTAAACCCTTCACAACCACTGTCTATTCGCACTGCAGTGAATTTATTACACGAAACAACAACAGCAAATACTAACAATAGAATAAACGTAACGTATCATTTGATAACGCAATATCAGTTCAATATGAGTTATTTGGCTCTCCTGAATGTTCACGGTGCTCTTCACATGTGGCACACCAGTATAAGAACTCTTTTTCTGTGGTCTTGACTGGAGAATTCTTATCAGAACAATTAGAGTTGACCCAGTACTTTGCAGACAGCAAAGAACACAAGTTTACATTTCAAAAAAAAAAAACATCAACACAAAAAATGGGTTCGGTTCCAGTTGTTTTTAAGACTGTTTGTGAAGAAGTATGACAGTTAAATAATAATTGTTAAAAAAAATACATAGGCCTTGAAAACTAAGAACTGAATGTGAATCACAACCCTTTGTTGTTTATAACAAATAATGGATTTCAATCAATTTGTATTTTTACAAATAATCACCAGCCTAATATTGTTGTCAATTGCCTATGCGGAAACGGATTATGATTTAAATTTGGTAAGATAAACATGTACTTCTTAGATATTGAAAACAAATAATCCCAATTGCTCTTTGTAGGTTCCCAATGGTGACTTCAGTTTACCGGAATCTTTGAAACGTTTTAGCCGGCTACGCTGCTTGGAAAAATATCCCCAGGCGGATGTGGTGAATTTTACCAACACCCATGATACTCATTGTGTTTTACAGTGTTGGCTATATAAAATGGGATTGATGAATTTAGCAACGCGTGGTCTAGATGTAAGTTGTAATCAATTTTGATAAAATTTATTGAATTATTATTTTAATAAATTTTCAAATTTTTGATGCTAGAGTAACAAATTCCTCGATTTATGGGACGATGTCGATGAGGCATTTGAAGAAGAAAAATGCATGGAAAAATTTGTATTTGCCGAACCTTTAAGTGGTACATGTGAAGATACTTATCGCAAATTAATGGAATATCGTACACATTGTTTAGAGCTGTTTGAGTTCACATTTGGCCTAAATAGTACATGGAGTTCGAAGGAAGTAAGTATAGGATTTTGCTCAAGACTTATTTAACAATTACTAAGAATGGAAAACCCGAAATTAAGAAGTAACAACAAAACCGTCGCTAACGACGTCTATCGAGTCCAAATTTTCATAATCG